GCTTCGTCATCACCTTCACGCGATTCTCTTCCAACAACCGTAGTTTCACCTTGAAAGATAATAGAGCTAACAGTCATCCTCGGCGAAAGACCATGGGGGAAAATATGTGAGGATCTAACAATAAGTAAATAAACAATGAACGAGATTTTTTGCTCGCTTACCCGAACATCGGCCTTTAGTCCTTCATATTTGTCACGATGTTGACTCGCTTTATCGCTAGCGATTTGAATAGCTGTTGGACTGGCTGTAGCGTGACTGTGCAGTGACTCCAACTCATGTCGGCTAACATCGAACTCAATTCGAGCCTGAAAAAAAACTCAGTAAAATTAAGTTGATCAAAAAGTTTTAATATGGTTCTTTGAAAGTTCCAGAACTTTCGATTCTTGATCGATACCAATGATCTACCATGTGGTAGTGGTAGAACATTCTAGAACCTTCTCCGTAATGGGTATATATAGGCGCGCTTCCTCCTTTAGCTTAAATCACGATGTCAATTCCACGAGACCATGTTCGATACATCATCTTCTACGAGTGGCGCCGCGGCACCGGAGCGACGGCAACCGTTCGCACATCAACAGGGGAGGACACCTTTTCCATCACTACGGTCCATCGCTGGTTCGCTCGCTTCAAGGAAGGAGACACGGACTTCGAAGACAAGCCTCGGTCGGGACGCCCCCTCGCCGTCGACGACTCCGTCATTCTCGACGCCGTCAAAGAGGATCCGGAAGTTAACACCCGCAGTCTTGCGACGAGACTTGGGTGTGCCCAATCAACAGTCGGTCGCCTTCAGGCCCTCGGTTACAGAAAAGTGCTGACTCGATGGATACCTCATGTCTTGACCGATAGCATGCGGTACACCCGGGTATCCATTTGTCAGTCTCTCCTTCTCCGCCCACATCGCAAGGAGTTTCTGGAGGACCTAGTTACTAGACTGGATCCTCTACGACGCTAACAAGCACCGCGCCATCCCACCGACGCAAGCCAAATCCGACGTCCACCCCAAGAAGTTTCTCCTTTGCTGC